ATTCAGTTCACTAGGCTTTGGAATAGAGCTTAGGTTTTCATTTTAAAGGTTCACGCGTAAACAAGTTGGACTCTGTGTAAAGTGTGCTGCTCAGAGACAGGAGAAACCACAGCAGAACACAGTAAACATGATTCATCATCATTCCCTCCACCTGATGTCATTATGTTATGGGAATGAGAGTGCTAAAAAAGGAATAAGCCAGAGAGGGGAGAATATGACATGTAATTAATTCATAGCGTCTTCATCTCTCTCAGGACTCATTTTTTATGAAACACAACAATGGCTTCACTGTTTGAATTAAGGGCTAAGGAACACAATAGGTGTACTAACAGCTTCTCTACATGACCTCCACATTCTGTGACCTCTAGCACAGAAAATGCCATTTCAGTTAACACCAAAGAACATGCACTCATTTGCTCTGCTCCAAAACCTTGTGAGCTGCTTTTAAGGGGTCACAGGGCACACTCATTACTCTAGAGGTCACATTAAGGTCCACTGGCTATTGTCAATAGAGTAGCGATGAATGAAGCACCACTCACACAGAAGTTACTTTCAAACCAAGCTGCTTCTGTTGGTCATTGTGGCCAAATTCCCAATATTCATGGGTTTCTGTTGAAATGATTGTTTTTACAGTTACGTTTGATTAATTTAATGAATCCTTGCTGAATAATTGTGATTATTTATTTATTGATCTATTTATTTTAAATTAACATTTAATCAACCCTAAACTTTTAAATGGTAGTGTATCTCATTTTCCACAAAAATATTAAAAAACACAACTGTTTTCAACACTGGAAATAATAAAAAATGTTTTTTTGAGCACCAAAATCAGCATATTAGAATGACTTCTGAAGGATTGTGTAACATTAAAGGCTGGAGTAATGACTGCTGTAAATTCAGCTTTGCCATCACAGAAATAAATGACATTTTACAATATATTAATTATTTTAAATTGTAATAATATTTCCAAATATTACTCTTTTTACTGTTCATCGAATAAATGCAGCCTTGGTGATATTTAAATATCTTCATTATGCCAAACTTTTGACCAGTAGTGCATAAATGACTATTTTAATTATTTTATTGAATTTTTTTTAAATGAGTCACTTATAAGGTTCCATCACTATTAGGATATGGTCTCAGAAGGCAGCTGCCTACTTAGGCAGTGAGGCACGAGGCAGCTCACAGGGTTTTGGAACAGACCCCAGTCTGCTCATTGTCAATCACATCTACCTCAGAATCCTTAATTAAATCTCTCTGGTCTCTTTCTCCATGGAAGTGAATAATGCAGCGAGGAAGCCTTCATATCTTTCATGGCTTGTAGTTTCCAAACAGGACCCCTCAGAAACCAAATGCTTGAGGCATAAAATGCAACAAAGATGCTCAGTGAATAAACATTGGCTGTGTATCTCAGGTTCAGCTAAGCGACCAAAATCCCTCAATACTCTAAGCTGTCACAGCAGCCTCTCAAGCACACGTTTATGATCTATGGATATATATCACACAGAAAGAGACTCACAATAGAAGCAGTCCCATTGCACACTAAACTCAGTTACCCTGTTCTTTTTATTGCATATTAATCCCCAGGTGCCAATCCCATCCGAAATCAGACCAGACTTGCTATTCATCTGATCGCTTGTTGTTTCTTAACCCTAACCATATCCTCATGGACAAATGTGAATCCTTGTGTATTCATTACACTCTAGCAAAGAGACAGGCGAGGTTATTTTTCCTGTTCAAACAAGTGCAGGTTTATGTCTTATGTCTAAAACAAAGCCCGGTGCTTTCAGAGGCCTTATGTCTCCATCAGACAGTCACAGCCAATTGACATTACAAACTTCATTGCTCTTCCTGTTAAAAAAAGGCTTTTAATGTGTCTTTTAACATTTTAACAAAAAGGATTCATTTGTGATAATTAATGCTTCAAAACTAATGTTAAGTGGATGAGGAGTAAGGTTTTTTTTTAATTGCCTATCGAACCATCATGTAAATATAACATGGCACAAGACAGAAAAAAATTTAACTTTTTTTAAAGCTCATCTGCTTGCATGACTTGAGCTATTAAAAAAGAAAAATCAGCTTACATTGATAAACCACAAAAATTAATCAGCTCATCCCCATTTTGCATGTTAATGAGAAAGAGGCTAATTAAAGAGAGACAAGAAATGCTGTTGACTTTGAACAGCTGCCATTACAACTTTATGAAACCGCTACTTATGGCTCCAGACTGGCAACCATTTACTCAAAAACATTTTGAGAGAACAAGGCTGTTGAAACTTTTAACTAATACGTGACTGTTGTTTGTATCTGGAAGGTCAACTGGTCTCAAAGCTGTGTGAGAAAAGTGAAAATACACACCAGAAGACACATGCTCAAAAACAAACATGGCTTTGTGAGTTTTGCAATAGTCAGCACATTCTCACACGGATGCACCAACCCTTGAGCAGGATCACACACACTCTGTGTCCACAGAGAACTCTGCAGATTTCTGCAGGATTGCAACACCTATAGAGTCAAGATGTACTAAAGTGTGCAGAAAAGTACACTACTGTTCAAAGGTTTGAGGTTGGTAAGATGTTTTCATGTTTTTGAAAGACGTCTCTTATGCTTACCAACGCTGAATTTATTTGATATTTGTAATATTGTAAAATAACAGTAATACTGTTAAATATTATAATAATAATGTTGTGAAAAATTATTACGATGTAAAATAACGGTTTTCTATTTATGTTTTTGTGAACACTGTGATCGTTTCACTCAAATTTAAAAAGAACTCCAGTTTTTTACTGTCACTTTTGATTTAATAAAATTTAATGCATTCTTACTGAATAAAAAAATTATGAATTTCTTTCTTCCAAAACAAAAAACAAAAAAACCCTTACTGATGCAAAACTTTTGAACCATAGTATAATTGAAAGTGCTCAAGTTTAAAATTTTTTGTTTTATTTTCCATTTCTCAGTTACAAATCTTATATACGACTGAATATATTACTTAGTTTGATAACTAATCCATCCTCTTATGCTCAAGACCAATGCATTCCACAGATTTCTCCCAAATTAAAATGTGACAAACTGCAGATTCCTTGTGGGTCTGTCCATGAGCTACTTTACTGTTTTTCCTCTGCCAAGCAAAACATTCCAACAACAAACACATGTAGACCTCTCAACAAAAACTCTATGACTACATTTGATTTCCCATTATTCCTATTTATTCATTCACCTTCGTTTTTCTCTTTTAAAATTTGACAATACACAAACGATGGTCCTCTCATGAGTGGGGTAAACAGTAAACAGTATTTCTCTTCTTTAATGGGATGTTTTCACAAGCCTTACAGACTCGTCGAAAAAAAAACAAAAAAAACAGGTCATCTAAAAATGGTACATTTTTCATCCCTCTTTGTGGCTCATCTATAGTAATACATAAAAAATGAGCCTCAATAAAACATTTTCCTGTCTCAATAAGTAGAGCTCTGAGGTAAAATGATCTTAGATCAGTCTGTCAGAAGGAAAGAGGTATTGAGTGGCTCCCTGATGACTGTGCAGTGGGTGTAAATAGAGACAGACATCTTCCACCATTGCCACAAGGACTGATGTTTTTCAGGGTTTTTAAGACAGCATGTCTAGTCTTGAGACCCCTGTTCTGTTCCACTGCATTGCAACATGTCTTGTCTGAATTCTCCCTTAGCCTGCATCCCTAATGATTGATTTGCAGACAATTACAAGCTAAAGGTCTGAGCATCTCTCACACACAGATGGTTTAAGCCAGCACAGGCCTCAATCTGACCTGTTTCTGAGGGTAAATCTGCCTCATTCTATCTGGATGAACTTGGTGAGGGATATCAATTGAATTAAAACACACTGTCTATTTAGCACTCTGCCGCCGAGGATTACGGCTGAGTTTGTCATAATGATAAAAGGCCTAAGCAGAAGAGTACTGTTACCTGATACCTGGGATTCCCAGAGGATCTCTGTATGCTGATGTGCACTCAATGCACTCTGTGCAAGCAGTAGCTCTGCTCCAAAAACCTAGTGAGCATGCTGCCTACTGCCTACTAAGACAGCATCTTAAAGGGGTCATATGATGCTTATCTTTGCAACTTCAGGGATCTTATCTATTCACGAACAGCTTGTAACACTCCAAAGAGAAAGGAAAACTTGAAATCGCATCATATGACCCCTTTAACAATCACAGAACCTTATAAGTGACTTGTCTGGAATCAGCAGCAACTCTAGCGCAATCATAAAAAATATTAAAACTAAAAATATTATTTAAACTATTTTTTATTTTAACATATTTTAAAATGTAATTTTTTCATGTGATAAATTTATTTTTTCAGCATCATTACTCCAGTCCTCAGTGTCACTTGATCCTTCACAAATCATTCAAATACACATGTTGATTTGGTGAACAAGAAACATTTCTTATTATTATTAATGTTGAAAACAGATGTGCTGATAAATATTTTTATGCTAAACATGTTTTTCAGGATTCTTTGATGAATAGAAAGTTCAAAAGAACAAGCATTTATACGAAATCGTAATCTTTTGTAACATTATAAATGTCTTTACTGTCACTTTTGAATGGTAGTGCATTTCTCTCATCTCGTTTACCATCTTTATTTTATCACTGAGCTTGTCACAATGCATTTTGGTATCGCCTTTACAGTAAATTTGTCTGCGATGCTGGTATTGCTTGGTGACTTGACTTGACTTTAGCATACCGCCTCAGTAGGCAGCTCACTAGGTTTGGGAACAGAGCTTCACTTCCCATAAAACTGTGCACTACAACCCTCAGTAGTCTAACAGTGTGTTGGCCATACACTATTTCTAAACTGTATCTTACTGAAATTCACTTCCTTAAAGCAATGCACCTGCTTTTCATAACTAGGTTTTTTTTTCTTTTTGAGAAAAACCAAAGAGTCAGGTCTTTTCCTGTCCCTTTTTCAGAAGAGTGACGGCTTAAAGATGTAATAATTCAGTGGTGTCAAAAGTAGACATACCTTTAGTGGGTTCTGTGCGCTTGGGTAGGTCCAACGTGTCATAGTTTTTGTCATGCTCTCCGTTTTTCCTCCCTAAGTGAAGAAGGGGAAGACAGAGTAAGAGAGCATAAGGGAACAAGACAGAAAGAGCAGTTGTAAGTGTCACTCTATGAGAGACGGAATTTACTGGTATGAAAATGTCAAGTAGACCCAGTCTCAGACACACACACAGTTACAGACGTGCCACACAAATCTAACTACTACACAGATATGCAAAGACAAACTCTTGACACCAGCTTGCAAGAGTGGGAACCCCCATTAAAAATGCAGAGCCTTTGTCATGGAGGACGGACGGCTGTCTGTAACAGAGTGAAGTAATGAAGACCACTCCACTACCACACACAGAGAACATGTTATAAGGATAGTTCCTCTACAAATGAACATTACTCACCTTCATATTGTTCCAAACTTATTTGACATGCTCCAAAGCAACAAAAAAGCATCTTAGAAATAGTCCACATGACTCACACTCTATATTTCAAGTACTCTGAAGCCATAACATCACTTAAGACCAAAAATCTTTTTTCCCCCCCACTGTAGCTCTCTTATCTTCTTTGCACAAATTAAATATGCACATATTAAAATTTGGTGAATTGCTAAAAAATGGCAATTGTCATGGTGTCTTGTAACCCAATCACGATGCACCAAATGTAAATAGGCACATCTCTGTAGTGGAGAGGAAGATTTTTATTGAAAGTATCTAAATTAATTAATTTAATTACATCAGAATTTAAAGTCTTTTTTAATTGTTTTTTCTGTAACAATCCTTAAAACAGGTTAAGCGTACTTGAGAGGGAATACTGTATGAAATATTGGCAAGATACTGGCAGATTTTTTTAACTTGTTTAAAAGCAAAGACAAGTTTGAATTAATGACAAGTCTTAATATCTTATGCAGTGTTGCTTCTCATGTAAATTTATCTTGTTTAAAGATTTCTTGATATTTTAACTAATGAACAAGACAAAAATCTAATTTAGAATATGTTTTTTTTTTTTGTAGACAAAGCTATTGCATGATTTCTGAAGACTTTGATTAGTGCACACTTCGTATGGATTGTACTATGGAACTTTTTGGCATTTTTGCTTAGAGTTTGACAAAATTCTCTATCATTATATGAAAAAGGACAATGTGAACATTGTGACATTTCCTTTTGTGTTCTATAAAAGAAAAAAAATATATACAGGTTTGGATCAACATGAGAGTGAGTAAAATATGACATTTTTCAGTGGAACTATCCCTTTAAAGCAATGGGCAAAAAGACAGAAAGCAAAAGCAGGCCTCGTTAACAGATAACAGACACACAGACATCTATGCCAGCTGAAAGGGGCTTTGAACCAGCTAAATTGGCACAGGTTTGACATTTCCTTGAGGACAGGAACACTAGCCAGTTATTTAAGAATGGAAGGTGAAAGAGTGAAAGAGGGGCTGTGATGAAACGTTTATTCTGATGAAGATAGAGGAAGGCATTATGTGAGTGTATGCTGAGAGAAACAGACAGACAGAGGAAAAGCAGAAAGAGACACTCACCTTGATTAAACCATTCCTCTACAGTTAGCCAACGCAGGAACAGCAGCAAGACCAATAAGAAAACAAAGCAGGCAGGGAAGAAGAAAGGAGATTCAGAGAGTGTGTGTATTAAAGGAGACAGAACTTATTTGTGAACCACTTAAAAGTACACTGAAAAAGGAGAGAGAGTTTAACAAAAAATGAATCAAGTACAAAGTTGAGGAGGGAGTCCATTAGTTCCATTAGTTCCCTTAAGTGAAGATTCCAGAAAGGAGACAAAAGAGTTTATGCAGCTTTTTGCAGCAAATTCACTAAATGGTTACAAGAAACTTATTCATATATTCACAGATTTCATGCATCATTGTGTTCTGCAATGCTGTCAGAACAATTCATAATGTAATACTTTATTCTCAAAGTGACTGCAGGGCTGCTATACTGGGCATTAGCATAATCAGTCTTCTACAGTCAGTTTTCTCTTTAAGGCCATCTACTGTGCAGATTTGAGCAATTTACTTAGTAATCTAAACTATCAAAGGCATGCTTTTCAACAGCTTAACACATTTGGTTTAATAGCACAGACATTTGAATATCTATTGCCTCTTTGAGTGCTGAGCATCGCTAATGCTAAGTGGAAACACAAAGAAAGCGAGATGTTTAATATGACCTTGTTTTATTTTGCTTCAGTACTATAATGTGATATGTACACTACCGTTCAAATTTTTGGGGTCAAAAATGTTTGTGAAAAAGCTCTCTTATGCTCAGCAAGGTAGCATTTATGTGAACAAAACTACTGGAAAACAATGTTGTGGTTGTGGAGTATTAGAATTGAAAATAATTGTTTTCTATTTTAATAGATTTTTAACTTGCAATTCATTCCTCTGATGGCAAAGCTGAATTTTCAGCAGTCATTACTCCAGTCTTCAGTCACATGATTCTTCAGAAATCATTATAATATGCTGATTTGGTGCTCAAGAAACATTTCTTATTATTATCAATGTTTTGCTGCTTAATATTTTTAATTTTTTTTGGAAATCATGATTTACTTATTTACTTTTGATCAAATGAATGTGTCCTTGCTGAACAAAAATATTCATAAAAAAAAAAAGAATATCTTACTGACCCCACAACTCTTGAATGAGTGTAATTTAAATGACATTAATTAACTAATTAACCTAACTTAATAATTAAGAATAAATAACAGCATTTCCTATGAGAATTTCCTATCAAATCTACTAGCGGTGCAGAAATAACACATTTTCTGCTTTAATTTGTGGTAATCCAACATAGCAACCTAAACTTTTATGTGTTTATACAGGGCTCCAGACTCATTTTTCCCACTGGTCGCTCTTTTGCGACTAACTTTCTCAGTTGGTCGCACGAGCACATGATTTGGTCGCAAATTTTATTTTTGCGCTACAACATGGGATTAATCAATGCATGCTTTTATCATAGTTATATGGAAACGAAAGTGGTTAACATTCAACCCGTTCTTCTTCATCAGTATTATTTGTGATTTGAATTTTATGAACGGGAGTTCCTCTTTTGCTGTGTTATAAGCCGGGCTTGGCAATCTTGTCACGTTTTACAAGAAAAGATAATTGTCTGTTTTGCTAACATACATCTACACACCTTTCACTTTTTAAGACTAAAACAAAAGATGGATTCATTGTTATTCTTAATTAAAAAGCACAACAACAATAAATCAGTAAGATACAATGACAAGCTAGCTTACAAAACGTTTATTAACAAAAACGAATAAGATGAGGCATGGCACACACCACATGCTGTATTATATACAGACTAATAAATTACAGAAAGTTTAGCAAACACTGAGGAATCAAATAAAAAATAAATAAAAGAGAGCCTCCATAGCATAACGTGAGGTAAACAGCAAAGATAACAAGCTTTTTAAAACGAAAACAAAAAGAAAAGTAAAACTAAACTTGCTGTCGGTGATAGTGCTTGCATGTTTTTTCCCCCCACAAGATTACCAACATCTTCACCTTTGGTTTAAGAAGCGGTCTTTTACTTTACTTTAGCTTGAAAACAATCCATCGTTTCCTCAATATGCGCGTCATTTTTGCTGTGCGCAGCTTCGCGCTCCTGCTGACGCGGCGAGTATAAACCAGGCTCTACACTCGAAGCGCTGCGCAGTTCAAACGAGTAGCGCGGTTTCGTTATGCTTTCAGTTTCGTTTGCCATTTGATGTTTGTCATATGCAACAGAAATGGCAGCGCTTATGAGTTGAACAACGTGGTGGTCACGCCAGTGCGACCGCACACAAAATTTAGTCGCACAGGCAGAAAAAATTGTCGCAGTCTGGAGCCCTGTTATAGTGAAAGTGTCAGGAGTTTTATGTGCAAAACTAAACTGTCTTTTAAATCAGGTAAAATTTTGCTGGGGAAATGTCCAAACAGCTTGCCGGGAAAACATCCCTTAACGCTTGTTAGGGGCATTTTCTGGTGTAAATATAGGTCACTTGCATCTTCAAAGTAAATCTCCAGGGCTGCTGACAGATAAACAAACCTCATTAAAAAGGGTCCATGAGGCACAGCATGACATCAATGTTGTCATCTTTGCTGCTTACTGACATTCTTGCTTTTGCTCCTTCAGTTTGTTTATTGAATTCACTTATAGGTCTGTTCAAGAATCAATTCACTAAATTATATCATTAATATTGTGGCGCTGAGGCCGTTTGCTTCCCGCTATAAATGTGTTCACTATTATTACCTGTTAATGGGGGGATAGTTGGGGGAGGGGCCAGGTGCGTGCGGCAGAAGAGAGTTCATTTTGAGCTCAGCTCAGGGAAGAAAAAGTTCAGAGCCCTTCGCGGTTTCTTGTTTTTGGGAAAGTTAGGATGCCTCCTGATACCTGTGTTTTAGGTTGTAACGTTCAGGAAATAAACAAAGGCCGTTGGCTGCTTTTGAACTGGATCTCCGTCTCCTGCCTATTTATTTTGGGAAGTTGCACAACGCTACAATATATTCAAGATGTCTCACATCAGTTCATTTAAGAGAGAACAAAAAATACTGGACAACTAGTATAAGAAAATTATTAAAAAAAACAAAAAACCTTGAAACTATCTGGAACCTGGAAATGAATAAACTCTCTTGGCATTATGTAAAGAATATGTACCTGAACAACACTCAGCAGTTTAAAAGTGAAGTGTTTCGAAGAACTGATTCAACTCAGACAATGTAGCAACACAGACAGTGAACCTACACCCACATCCATTTAAAGATGAACACTGATACTCCAGTAATAAATCATGAGTCATAAAAGAGCACAGGCCAAACAAAGAGAGATTCGAGCATAATTTAGCTTCCTATTACAATATCTGCCTGCACTGCTATTTATGATGTTGTGTAAACGCTAGGATCATACTGCCCTCCGTGAACCTGCCAGTGATGGAAGCATCCGGCTGATGATGATCAAGACTCAGTGATCTAAAGATGCTCAGCACTGTTTTAGAAGTATAAAGCACATAGATGAGATGAAGAAAAATTCAATAATGACCTTTAGCCTTCTTTCCTCCGAAGCAGCCTGCATCATCTTTCTTCTTCCTCTGAGTGCCAGCAGAGCCAGGGCCCTGAAGAGCTGAGGGGTCCTGGAACTTCTCGGCCCCTGGAACCTCCTTGTGCACGTGGTAAGACAGGTTCCTCATGATACACACACAATTCTCCACAGACTAAGAGACAGCAAGAGAGAAAAATTTAAAGAATGAAAAAAATTTTATGCAGGCATTTTGGAAGGGAAAAACTATTTTTAAAAAAGTGACCATTTGTCTTCTAAAGACTAAATAAAAACGTTTTCAATAATAATAATAATTATTATGTAATTGTATAATAATAATTGTTCAACTGCAGCATCGTATAGTCAAATATGTTTGAATAATAACCGCTAAACTGTATAGTTGACCGTTGTGCCAGGCAAGTGATTACGTACATAGCTGTGCTGATTTTATGTCTCATAATACAACTATTTACATGCAAATCAATATTTTTTGTCAATTCAATTATTTGTGACCCTTGACCACAAAACCAGTCTTAAGTCGCTGGGGTATATTTGTAGCAATAGCCAAAAATACATTGTATGGGTCAAAATTATTGATTTTTCTTTTATGCCAAAAATCATTAGGATAGTAAGTAAAGATCATGTTCCATGAAGATATTTTGTAAATGTCCTACTGTAAATATATTAAAACTTCATTTTTGATTAGTAATATGCATTGCTAAGAACTTAATTTGGTCAACTTTAAAGGCGATTTTCTCAATATTTAGATTTTTTTGCACCCTCAGATTCCAGATTTTCAAATAGTTGTATCTCGGCCAAATATTGTCCTATCCTAACAAACCATACATCAATGGAAAGTTTATTTATTCAGCTTTCAGATGATGTATAAATCTCAATTTCGAAAAATTTACCCTTATATCAGAAGTAGCCGGGTAATATGTGGGATAATGTACAGCCAGGCAGTCATTATCGCACAAAAACCTTTAAGATGACACAAGACCCCTTCGCTTTACATTATGGTCCTGATCACTTGCCTGGGTTTGTTTTGTGATATTGACAAGCTGACATCCCTTTATCCCTTTCATATTTATTACAGCCCTCCCTGAAGTCTGGATTTGTGTGTGTGTGACCTACCAAATGAAAGTTAAACATGGAAAACAGTATAATGTTTAAACAAAGATGGATACAGGCTCCAGGTGCTCTCTCTGCTGAATACACTTACTTTGCTGTCCATGTCCTTCTTTCCCACTGCAGATTGCAGTGCATGCAGCAAGGCATCCACCAGCCCCTCACACTCTCTCAACCGTCTGCGTGCCTCTGCACCGTCTGAGCTCACATTCCTAGGGCAAACAGCAAAAGCATGAGTAAGCACAAGTAATTTGCACTAATTATACATCATAAGCTGACACATTAAAAGATTTTGTTGAGGAAGCTACTTTGAAACTTTAACTTGTCAAGCTACAAACTAATCATAATTAAAGTAGGTAAACTTGTAAAAGGAGTTAGATACAAGATACAAGTTATTGGCAAAAAGAAGCTAAGGCCCTGCCAATATCTTTCAAATATGTTAAAATATATTTCATTCATATATTAAATTATAATATATAAAATACACTTTCAGTATATTTTACAATATAATTTAATCTATGCACAAAAACAGTTTGGATTTTTGAAATGATTAAACAGATTAAACAATGGATTATGGTGATAGCACTACAACAACTGGAATACAGCATCTTTATACAACCTGTTTGAAAACAGTGATTTAGTGTCAATTGACATTATTTAAAAAATAATAATTTATAATTTTAATAATAGTTTTTTTACATAACTAATTTACTGTTTATATGAATGGATTCACTAGAATGAATCTGAATTTAAGTGCAAAGACTGATAAAAGCTTGACAAAAAGGCAAAAACATATAGACAGATATTGCTTTTTTACAACCAATGCTATTATTTTATTGTGGTAATTCACTGATTTTTGTTGGAAAGTGTATGATAAACAATATACAGTCACCCTGTCCAATTAAACCCATTAAAGCCTTGTTCTGATCTCAGACCTGCTAAAATGACCAATTTCCCTCTTTAAAAATTAATGGAGGACAGATTACATTATAAAGTTAAATGGTTAGCAGCATTATATAAAAAAAAAAATTCAAAGAACGTCAGATGTGTCCACAGCCTGAGAAGGCACCAGGAGCCACCTGTGATCTACATACTTTACCCTGATATTTCTTTCCTACCAGCTGTTCAAGATGTAGTTTTTTATAACTAGACTGCCAAGTTAAAATCCTATCCATAAAAAAGCCTCACTCCAGAGTAATCACTATCAAACGACAACTGGAGAAAACATCAATTAAACTAGCACCCTGCAAACAAATGAGTCCTTTTCCAGCAGAAGAAATTTAAACCCATTTGCAGTATAAAACCCATATGGAATGTAACGTTTTCCAGCTGTACATCTGTTGTGGCAGCAATCCAGATATAAGAGAGATGGATTGCGTTTTTACAGCTACCTGTCTTTTTCCTCCATAATGTCTGAAGGACAGTCAGCACAATATTGAATACGTCCTACAATTTCTTGTACCTTAATAGTTTTGAGAATCCAAGATATAATATTGTGGGAAATGTAAATTATATATATTTTTAAATATATTATATTATTTATATGAATGTGCAGGTCTTTTTTTAAATAAATGATCTTAATTAAAAAATCAAATTACCAGTCCTAATATATTTTTGTATAGAATAACATAAGGAATGTATGATTCATTGACTGACCCTGAAAACCCTTCATCGTTGGCTCTGCTCTAGGTCATCCAAAAATAAACATTTGCTAAAAATCATTTACACACCCTCAGGCCATCCAAGATGTACAGTAGATGAGTTAATTTCTTCATCAGAACAGATTTGGAGAAATTTAGCATTACATCACTTGCTCTCCAATGGATCCTCTGCAGTGAATGGGTGCTGTCAGAATGAGTCCAAATCTTCATTCTGGATGGCAAGGACGAGTAATTTTTGGCTAAAATGTTCTTTTAAGCCTTTTAAGACCTTCAAAAATCTCAAATACAAACAGGACAAGGATGCACTACTTAATCATGAATTACAAATGTGCACAAGAAATAAATAAAGGGTGCTTTCCCTCAGCTGAAGAGAGACAGGAAACAATACTGTGCCTCCAAGCAGCTTACTAGGCAACAGATGTCACTGGATACAGTTTCCATGGATACAGGCTGAGCTGAGGCTAAAAAGACAGGATGAGGATAGAGTGGCGTTGTGGAAAACCGCATGTCTGCGATGACTTGCTGAGAGGTGGCATCGCATGGAAACACATGATGCCATGATGGCTTTCCCTCAGCTGAAGAGAGACAGGAAACAATACTGTGCCTCCAAGCAGCTTACTAGGCAACAGATGTCACTGGATACAGTTTCCATGGATACAGGCTGAGCTGAGGCTAAAAAGACAGGATGAGGATAGAGTGGCGTTGTGCAAAACCGCATGTCTGCGATGACTTGCTGAGAGGTGGCATCGCATGCAAACACATGATGCCATGATGGCTGTACTGCCACCTCTCCCTGATACATGATTTAGGCCTGCTGAGACACTGGTTAACCTGATAATATTGATTGCCCTGTCACAGGGCAATAGCCAGTAAGAGCCTTGGCAAAGGAGAAAGAGCTAAAGAGAGATAAGGAGGTTGAAAAAAAGTAAAAGAGTGCAGAGAAAGTAAGAAAAGGGAAATTGTTTTAGGAAATGTTCACAATGCTCCTCTTTAAAATAAAGAGAAAAAGGACGACCAATACTGGATTGTGCTTGCTTATGATGCATGAAAAAGAGAGAGAGAGAGAGAGAGAGAGAATACACATTTCTGATTAATTGATTTGACTGCAAATGACAGATTTCTATTACTGTTTCTAAATGCTTTCATCAAAGAATCCCAATAAATGTATCATGGTTTCCACAAAACAATTAAGCAGCACACCTGCTTTCAGTAATGACAATAATCAGAAATGTTTCTTGAGCACCAAATCAGCATATCAGAATGATTTCTGAAGGATCATGTGACACTGAAGACTGGAGTAATGGCTGCAGAACATTCAGCTTTGCCGTCACAATAATAAATTACCTTTTAAAATATATTACAACAGAAACTAGTTATTTTAATATTTCACAATACTATATTTTTGATCAACTTTCAAGGAACAATATTAGTTAAGGCAGCATAACTCAATCAATAATAGATACCTAAATAAACTATTGCAATAATGTCCATGCTTCTTATTTGTAGTATTAATTTTTTGCAGATATCAGAGATCCAGTAGGTCTACCTCCAAAAAACTGTTTTATAAAATGGTATACTTGAAAGGAAAGGGAACAGAGGGAGAGACTGGGAAGAACAGATGATAGCAGGGAGGTAGAGTCACATACAGAGAAGCAAACAGAAGCTGGACTTGGCCCAGCAGGTTGCAGCACAACCAGCAGCAGCAGCAGGAGATTAGAGGCCTGGCTGCTAAAGAGGAAACAGAGGGTGGAAACACAGCCCCGTCCCTCCGGAGCTTCAGTGCTGAGCTCACACACAACACAGGACACAGCTCAAATAAGAGAAGAGAGGGAGGAATTAAAGGAAAAAGGAAAGAGGGTGAACGCTACATTTATTCAGTGGTGAAACACCACATAGTTACTCAAATGAATTCTTGTAGCATCCAAATCCTGCTTCTGAAACATCCCAATACAATCAACAGTGTAGTAAGGAACAGATATAAATATAATGATATCTGAATCACACCTCATACTGTATACACCAAATGTCATCATATTTGCAAATTTCTGTTCTGCCTATAAGACACAACCAGAACACAACCCTGTGTTGGAAGTACCTACTCATGCAATCACAAGATTAAGGATTTAAAGAGAGCACTTGAGGTCATGAAACTGAACTACACTGACCTGCTTCTGTCGCTAGCAAGCTGATTTAGACAATCAGGCCTGTGCGCTGAGGCTTATCCGCAATAGCCACAGAAGTCTAGGTAGGTCAAACAAGGATAGTCACAGCCAAACAAGGCAACAATAAACTGATTTGATGCCACAGTGTCAAAAGAGTGCAACAACCATATGTGAATCCTGAAAAAAAGGATCACTGTAGGCACCATCATGGCACTGTAACACATTGTTTAAAACGATGATCACTTCAATGGAGGAAGATTTCATGATCTGATGAGTTGTTCTCAGTTCATATCAATCAATGGGTTGTGTTGCCAAGTCAGTGATGGTCAAGGCATATGCTAGAGTTTTAAAACATACTTATTGTTATACATGGATCCAATGTCCATTTATAATAGCTGAGACAGGCAAAGATCACACGGAATTAAAAAAAAAACAACAACAAAAAAACATTTCCTTTTCAGGCAAAGAGCAGAATCAGCCTGGACCCCTCTTACACAGCAATGTTTTCTTGCTTTTCTTAATCAAAAGCTGAGCTGCTAGAATGACCCCCAGAGGAGAGGATCAGTGTCTGCAGAGAGGCTCGGAACATTATACCAAAAATGGTTAAATATAGAACAGGCAGAGGCTATTGATTTTTGCCTTTAGATATAATGTGGAGGTTTTAATATTTTTTCATAGATTTTTGTTAGAAGACAAATAAGTTCAGTCTATACAAAATCGTCTGTTCCCACTTTTGTTTTCCATATACTGTAGATATATCGGTTGCCTCTCTATAACTAAAGCTCATTTTAACTGCTGTTCCCATAGGCAAAAATTATCTTCTCAAAGCTAAACAATTTGCTTTTCTACCACTAGTGCGCAGGAACCATATCAAGCAATATATGGCAGTATAACAGTGAGTTAGACACAAGAGGTCATTGCTGTCATTGTTAACTAAAGCGTAAGCTACTAAAAAGTTTTGTTAATTGAAATGAAGCTGAAATAAAATAAAATATAAATATTACATGAAAAAATTAGAAAGGTTGCCTTGGTAACTAACTGAAATAAGTTGAAGTACTAAAATTACTAAACCTAAAACTAATATAACAAAGCTAATATATATATAAAAAAATGATTAAAGATAATTTAAAAATTAATTAATATTATAATAGTATATAAACAATACTAAAATAACATTGTGAGAAACAGACCATCTTAATATAAAATGAACTTTTCATTCATCTGAAACGTTTTAGCAATTAAATTAGAACAGAAGAAATGGGTAAAAGGATTTTGCAGAAACCCAATAAGACTCGTAAAAACCGAAAGACCAATAAGAGTTTTCATTGCCATTGTTCTAGGTCAGCTAACAAAGATGTGAAAGGTGCTGTCAATCAGACCAGTATACCTTAAACATCCTGATGTGTTCTTAAAGACTGTGGTCCACTCTGCATCTCGTGGCTTTGAGTCCTCATTTGGCTCGTGTTCCCAGCCCGAATGAGGGATAATGACCTCGTTAGTCATCGTCTGAAGCCCGTGGTTAATTATCACCATCTTCAGTGGCTCATAGGAGGACAAGTTCCAAAGTGTTCCTAACAGGTGGAGTAAGACGGAGAGAGAGAAAAGAAACAGGAAAAGAAAAAAAGGACCTGTTACACCTCTTAACATGACACAAGAGCTACAAACAAAAAGTGGCACCGCTGTTAGATCTGTTGACACACCACGCATTACAAAAGCATTGATTCTGAGTTTTCAGACAGGAACCTCCATTACAGACCACAACTAAGAAGGATTGGACAGGAAAAAAGGAAAGGAAAAACAAAGTTTGAGAAAAATTGCCCAGAGTAAACAGAACGTGAAGGGGCCAGGCTGTTATTTTCTAGACAATAAAACTGAGAAGCTTGTTTTATAAGCCAGCAGATATCTATACGCCTACACAGTTAAGAAAGACTGGCCTTTGTTTTATTAACTTGGCAAGCCCCATACAGCTACTGCTACCCTTTGGAAATGTACAGTGAATAAATAAACTGCCTTTTCTTGGGTTAGTAAAAACTAAGTCTCAGGACCACAGGTCATACTCGCTAAAAACAGAAATAGCAAGAGTTTACATAGTTGACTACTAACTCAAACAAATGTACATCCTGATCCTGATATAACTCTGAATCTATTTTTCTGCCCTTCATACACATCATCATCACTCCATGTTCTTCTCACTCGGTAATTACTTCCAGATCAATTTCTGCTCACAAAAACTACAACGGGAGACAAGAAGTAAACATGTCATAGCTCTGTGTAATGTGGGCTCAGGTTCTTTTAACCACCAAAATAAATCTATTTACTATCGGACAATAACAGTAATAACTGTACTTCCATCTGTGAGGTAGTTCCATCGCCATCACCTCTTAGGTGCTGAATGGCCATTAGACCCTGGTTAAAGTCCAGATAACAGACACTGTACACATGGCCGCTGCCGAATGTGGGAATGTCTATTTGGTAAAGTGGAACATTAAGGAGCATGGTTCATTACCAGCTAGCTCATGCACTCGTGCACGTGTTATTGTGTCAGATGGGCTTGTAGTCAGAGGAGATGTAGAGGTCTATATATAGAACATGCTGATTAACTACACACACACACTCACACACACACACACACACACACACACACACACACACACACACACACACACACACACACAACACCATTCAAAAATGTCAGTAAACACATTTATAGTATTTGTAATATTTTTAATTATCATGTGACACTGTACACTGGAGTAATGGCTGCTGAAAATGTAGCTTTGCTATCACAGCAAAAAATTAAAATGTAAAATATATTAAAAACAAAACGAGTTATTTTTGGTCAAATAAAGACCAAATAGTAATAGAACCATACTTAGTCTTAGACATTGATGTATTACCAGTTGAGCTAATATAAAGTTCATCTAAAGTTGTATAGATATCTATACAAAATATTAATATATTCATATTAATTGTACAAAACACACACCATACAATGGTAAAAACCTTACAATGTTATTTCAGAGAGCTCTAGTGTCGTATCTGTTCGGTTCCCCTGGCATCTTTTGCAGGTTCCTGGATATCCCACAAATCTAATACAAAAGGAGCCAATGAAACCCACATGAGGGAAGCTGAACCTTGCAAGAGGTGCAGCCTGATTGAGTTTACTCCTTCCTGCTTGTCATTGGAGCCTCCCAGCTAATTCAATTTCCTGGGAGCAGCAGACATGCTGTTCTAACAGGCCATTCACTTAGGGCTATTACAGTCCCATCCTGCCCCCTGCCATTCATCATACACTGATTGGACAGCCGAGTCAGAGAGAAAGAAACAGGAAAGAAGGGTAAATGAAGTAATCATCTCAGAAATGCCACCATACTCTGGACTTGTGGAATTTCTGAACAAATGCCATTTTGAAATGTTTCATGGCCTTTTTCTAATGTCCTTCCTTTTTCAAATATAATCAGGTGATTTGAGGAGACCTCTGCGTAAGTACACAAACAGTAATCCACACAAAATCAAGGAATCATTCAGACCGTGAGATTCAACGCATTACCAAAATGAAACACTGACATTTAGTAACTATATTTCTAAATGTAATTTGGATCATATTTTTATTTTACCTTTTTTTGTGTACATTTTTCGAGAATGAAGTTGCATCATGCAACCTGTTCATGTTCTACCAAGTCTAACTGTGTCTCCAAACAACATATAATAGTGGTATTTCCTGAATGAGTGTTTTTGAACAAATCTGTTGAGTGAATGATTCAATGACTCACTCATAAAGTCACTTGTTTCCTTCAAGAGTTTTGAATGAATCAGATGAGAATGACTTGCTTACTCAGACAGTCACTTGTTGCCACCTACTGGATAAACGATGCAACTAGCAGAAAAAGTCACTGAAAAATCCCCACAACTATAATACACAGACTGACAGTCTGACTGGAATGTGTAAAAACATAGAGAAGTGGAGTCTGTGCAGTATAGTACAGACTACGGAATTAGGAAGTACATCTTAAATCTGTTTCTACTAGAAACTTGCTTGATCAGAGCAAAACGAATGAGGATGAGATGGAGAGTTGAGGCAGATACAAAGATACAGAACGCAGACAAGGAAGCAGAGGTTCATGGCTACTGGTAGAAACATACTGCTGTAGCTGGTTGGTTGTAATTAAATAATACATTTCCATCAATTCACATTTAAGCTGGAGAGCTCTGAAAAGGAAATTATGATGCTTTGAAGTTGTATCATTCTTGACCACCTTAATTTAAAAATATTAATATGAACTACTAAATATTCACAGCACATGAAGAACATTTAACACAGGGTCACCAAATTAAAACAGACAGTTTAATCAAAAATAGATACTTCTGAATTAGAAAAAAAAAATGAACAGAAAGAAAAAAGTACTAGCAATATCCACACGAGTTTCTTGGTTGAGGGTGCAAATAAGTGCTGCTGACGATACATGGGTACCAACCATGGCGTTCAAGAGCACAAGGTGAACCTATTTTTAAAACCCTGCAATTATTTTTAATTGCAGAAAAAACATTCCAGGGGCTCGGTTTGGAACTGACACACTATATTCCCTCCATCCTGTAGAAAAGAGCTATTTTTAGCTGTAAAGTTAATCACTGAGGCTGCGGAGCTGTTATTCATCACTGTTTCACACTCCAGCAGTATGAGGATTCACTCAGGTATTTCACACGCTAGAAACTTTTTTCTGTGATCTGTGAAAAAACTGAACGTCTGGTCTGGAGAACCATCAGTCAATGTCATTACCAGAAAAAAACTTTCTCTTTCAGTAGTTTCACCAAACCCTAGTAGAGGAAAGATCAGCATGCAGTATTTTTAAGCATATACATTACTATTCAAAAGTTTGGGGTCGGTAAGATTTTTTAAAAAGAAATTAATACTTTAGTTCAGCAAGGATGCATTAATTTGATCAAAGTGACATAAAAAATATATAATGGTGCAAAAATGACCATTTCATATATTAAGCAGTAGAACTGTTTTCAACATTGATATTAATAAGTAATTTCTGAATTTGTAAAATATATTAAATTAGAAAACAGTTATTTTAAATTGTATAGTAATAATATTTCACAATATAATCATACAAATGCAGCCCCTGCTGAGCATAATCATGAAAAAATCTTACTGACCCCAAAATGGGATATGTTTAGAATTATTTCATATACAAATGCTTATGATTATTATTTTTTCTTAAGATTTTGTAAATCCCTCATTGTCTGTCAGTGACACAAAACCCCTGTTCCAGTAATAAAATGTCTTGCGTATGCATGCGAACATGTGTCTTTGGTCTTTGTGCGTTAAGTGTCCGGTCTGAAGCCGGAACTCTTTTGCATTGTCCACGTTCTAGTAAATGTGTGTCAGGTCATGGACACCAGGCCGAGGGATAAAGGTCCCAGGAGGACACACCTAAACCCCAGCGTGTTCTTATAGTGACATTTAGCAGGTCAAGACCCTGCTCAGCAGTCCCGCTGAAAGATTAACCTGGATTCAGTCAACATCAGTCCGGACTCATCTGGTATTTAAACGTGCAAAACATGGTGAGAGGCCTATGGCTAGTATTAGTAGGATGCTTGCCAAGCATGACTGGATGAAATGAGAAAAACACAAATGAATGAATCATAGAAGATTTAGGACAAACAAGATAAAAAAGATGGAAGGTTACTGGACTAAAAATTACTTATATTGGTCAGGCAGTCACACAGAGGAAAGCCTGATTAATCTAGAATTGAATTTCAACCAGCTCCTATTACCACCATAAAATGTCTTCCTCAAATTTTAGATTAGTGTAAGCAATGTAGCATTCTTAAAATTGTTATCACAAAATGGTATCAAAAAATTCTAAAATAACCTAATAGGCTACGTTCACACTGTCAGTTTCTGGGATTGACAACCACATTTACTTACAGGTGTGAGTCTTGAAATGTCACGTTCACACACCAACAACTTACAGTAGCTTCTCCGATTCTGTCTGTATGAACATGCAACAGGAGTCAAGCCCGTATTCCTTGCCAGTTACCATAGCGACAGTGACCAAAGTTGACCAAAGATGTCGACGTCCATAAAACTGAAAGTCTTATCACTTTCATACACGACAAGAGTCCGATTTAACCGCAAGTTTATCAAGTTCATGCGGTTGTGAGTCCCGAAAATTTACTGTACTGTGTGTGAACATAACAGTATTAAGGACTCAAATACAGGACTGACAACCGTATTCTGCTGCTGTGTGAACGTGGCCATAATTAGGTGGGTGAAACCCAACGTACAACCCACTTTACAAAGTTTGTGTTCATGATCACAGTGCTAAATTCCAGTATGGAATGTAGTTATCATATCATACCTGTGATAAGTTCCCGAACTTCCATGTCATTGGTTTTCCTCAGCAGACGTATGTGAGCAGGAATCCCATCACAGCTCTTGATGGCCACCTTGTTATCGTGGTCCTTGCCGTAGGAGATGTTTCTCAAAGCTCCGCAGGACTTGCGATGGACTTCTGCTTTAGGGTGATCCAGCAAGCCCACCAGCATTGGGATCCCCTTCAGCTGCCTAACATCTTTCTTTATCTTGTCGTTTTCATAGCAGAGATGCTGCAAGTAGGCGGCTGCATTTGATTTGACTGGATCGATGGGGTGGCCTAGCATGGCGATGACCTCAGGCAGGTCGGGGTCCCTCCAGCGCGGGTCTTTGCGGATGCTGTCAATCGAGGGGGAGCGTCGGCCGCCCATGCGGTCTAGACTGGCCAAGCTGCCCCTCTCGGGCTGTGCAAGAGGTGCTGGGTACATGCCATGGATGTAGGGGTGTCTTTCATCGATTAATTCAGCCTCTATGGGGTCCTCGTAGCCTCTGTAACCAAACGAAGAAAAACAGAGAGATTTTAAAGAGGTTTATCAGTCATCCAACGGTATTAACACCACACAAAGAGCAGGAAAGAGTGAAAAACTCTATATTTGAGATATGCCATGTTTTAGAATTCTTCAGAAAAGAAAGTTGGCTATAGTCATGCACAGTATGATTTCTTTATATGATTTTAATCTTGTTGTTTTTCTATAAATAATTGCTTATATTCACCATAACCAACAATACCTATCTCAAAAGAAAAATAAGATGAGTTCAAAATATGTAAGATGGGGTAAAAAGACTAAGTAAAACAGAGACAGAGAAAAAGGTGATTGCTTTAGTTATTAACCATGGTGTCAAATAATCCACAGAAAAACTGCTGCCATTTCCCTATTAATTGTGTCTGTCAGGACACAGTGATATTCTCTCTTTCTTTAATTAAAGATGGATGGGATGGGATACAGCATGAGGGAAAACAGAGAGGCCGCATGGCCCAGAGCAAATATAGAACAGACTGGAAATAAAGAGAGAGAGAGAAAGAGAGACAGATGGATAGGAATCGATGGATGGCTTCCCTACTATGATGAGTAATCTGAATAAGAGGACAGCGTAGTACAACATCACTCCCACTGGGAGAATCCCAGCTCTAGACTTTTCTGAGAGCTCCCTGTCACAAGCAAGTCACAAGCAAGCAATCAATATATTGGGACAGGAAATTAAATAATCAACATGCATTTCTGAAATATTAATTGTAAATGGACATTGATAATGCTTTGAAAATTTAGAGTAGAAATAAATCAGAATTTTTTCATACTTTTTTTAGTCCACATTTTTCACATTCGGTAGCACAATTCCTGTTTAGGCTGCTACTGCTACTGTGCTGTCTTAGAAAGTGTAAATTAACCTTTTCATGGTATACTTCTCCACATTTGCAGAGAAAAGACATAAAAGTCCAAAGTAGATGGAAAAAAAAGCTATAATGCAACATGGAAAAACCATTAAGCCAACCGAAGAGCCCAATAGACTGAAAATACAGTTTACAAACAAATGCTGCAGTGGGAACATTTCCTGGTACTTCAGGAACCCTGGAAATTAGCCGTTGTATCACTTCATTAAAACTGAGCTGAAACTGACCAAAAAGTGCCGTTTGTGGTGTTCAAACATATAATTTCCAAAAAATCCACTGCTCCACAGACGGTAGCAAGAGATTTGCATTTCTCTGAGGCATCACACAAACCCTGAAGTGGCAATGGCTGATTTTAACTTCTAAAGTGAAACAGTGGTTTTAAAAACAGAAACTGATACACACATCATCACTGTATACCATATGGATTACTTATGGAAACCTATACTAACATTGAACATTCTGCGTGTGTTCATACTGCAGGTGGCCGGAGGCTCTCATGAGCCCATGATATTTTACTCTAACAGTTCTTGTCCTCTACAGCATAGAAGTTGGAAATAACATGTCTGGGGATGTGCTGTACACATCAGGGAGGTTACATCAATCTCAGATAGGAGTCTCAGCATGCTTCATTATCAGTGTGAACAAAACAGAGATGTCCCTGTGGTGGTACTTCTAATTTGGCAAAGAAATATTAAACCCCTGTGCCACACACTCACCATCACTCTTTCTCTCTCTCCATTTCCAGCTCATTTTCTGTCCTCATCTCACTCTAGGTGGGAAAAACAAGGTGTACCAGAAATTCAGAGCACTAGGGACCAAACGTGCAAATAAAAAGCCACCACTATAATCTGACAGCATTCATGAATGCATAGAGGAAATGTTTAGATATTAATCTTTTGCTAATTCTTTCTTTTCGTTTGTAGTCTGAACAGCAAGAAAAAAAAACACTTACAATTTTGTAAGTGATGAAATCTGATCTCATATATATATAAGTCTTTGATGTGTGACTTGACAAAATGGGCCACAGCTGAGAATGTTGGCGGTTTTAAGGGGGATGCACTTTTAATGAGAGTTTTATGTTACAGTTTTTCTCAATTGCTTTGGCTCAATTCCCGAATGAAACTTTTTTTTCCCGAAACAATAAGTTCAGATCTCTGAACAATTAGCTTCTTGTTCACACTCACAGTTTAGAGAATGTTAAGATTGTTTCGAAAAATGTGCCAAAGCAATTGAGAAAAACTGTAATTATGTACTGCAACTTTGGAGGTGATCTGAGGGCACATTACAGAGGGAGGAAATCTCAGCAAGCTGTTACATGGCAGAGCTTTAAATGAACAGTGCATACATCTGACATCGTAAAGAGATGACATGGCCATGAAATGGGTCATTAACTCTATGATGGTACATGATGAACACATTATCTGATTAGTCCCAGAGGAAAAAGAGTTTTAAGCACACTAAAGGAACATACTGACAATGACAGAGCAGGGGTATAACATGTTGTCAGATGAGACATCTCTTAGACACGAAGATTGTAGCATTTGCAACTTTTTTGAATTAAAAAAAACAATATTCAAGGACATTAAGTTGATCAAAAGTAAAATTTATTTTACAGTGTTACAAATCATTTCTCCCCACTGTGCAATAAAACGTGCAATCCCCAACTGTCTATACTTATATTTATTATACGTATGTTAGTGACTTTCATTGCAGGGGATAGGTGCGGCATTCAAGGAGATTTTTTTCCCCGGTGCATGGCAATGGAAAACATCAGATGTGATGTTGATGAAAATCTTTGGCCTGACCAACAAGAGCGACAGGATGTCCAGCAAGAATCATTTTTGAAGCATTCAAAATAAGTATTTTTGTGTATTTGTGGTAACATAAGAAATATGAAATGTACAGTAATTGGACAAGCAAGATTTCACTTATATGTAATGCATTCGTACAAAAATAAATGTACTGCATAAATACAAATGTTCATATACTTTTTTTTTTTTCTATGTACTATTGACTCTTCTCAACAAATATCAGATTTTTTTTATAAAACCTTCATTTCCATGGTTGACTGTCATGGTGAAAAAACAACTAAACATTTTGACCAGTGTGGCTCACACGATGACAAAAATACTTTATATTTTGGTGGCCTTGGCCAAATTACTGACACGATAACTAGGTTTTGAAGCATGAATGAAATGTTTTGGGTGAGTAACTACATTTTGCAGACATGCAATAAAGTTCTGAAGTTCCAGCAAACAGTTGTGACATTTGCACTCACAGTTTAGAGAATGTTAAGATTGTTTCGAAAAATGTGCCAAAGCAATTGAGAAAAACTGTAATTATGTACTGCAACTTTGGAGGTGATCTGAGGGCACATTACAGAGGGAGGAAATCTCAGCAAGCTGTTACATGGCAGAGCTTTAAATGAACAGTGCATACATCTGACATCGTAAAGAGATGACATGGCCATGAAATGGGTCATTAACTCTATGATGGTACATGATGAACACATTATCTGATTAGTCCCAGAGGAAAAAGAGTTTTAAGCACACTAAAGGAACATACTGACAATGACAGAGCAGGGGTATAACATGTTGTCAGATGAGACATCTCTTAGACACGAAGATTGTAGCATTTGCAACTTTTTTGAATTAAAAAAAACAATATTCAAGGACATTAAGTTGATCAAAAGTAAAATTTATTTTACAGTGTTACAAATCATTTCTCCCCACTGTGCAATAAAACGTGCAATCCCCAACTGTCTATACTTATATTTATTATACGTATGTTAGTGACTTAATATATCTTACATCTACCCACATTCCCTTGCATAATTTGTCTATAGCACTGTACATACAATATACTGTTCACGGTCTCTTTATCTATTGTGTATTGTTTTTACATATTTATTTTTACTCAATTATTTTTCTTTTTTGTTATCTGCGTCTTGTCCCTTGTCAACCTGTCTGTGTACTGTAAGCTTCTGTCACCAAGAAAAATTCCTTGTGTGTGTAAGCACACTTGGCAATAAAACTCTTTCTGATTCTGATTCTATATATAAAAAAACGCTGTTCTTCTGAACTTTCATTAAAGAATCGTAAAAATTTTTTTTTGATCATGGTTTCCACAAAAATATTAAGCAGCACAGCTGTTTTCAACATTGATAATAAGAAGAAATGTTTCTTGAGCAGAAAATCAGCATATTAGAATGATTTCTGAAGGATCATGTGACACTGAAGACTGGAGTAATGACCGCTGAAAATTCAGCTTTGCCATCACAGGAATAAATTACATTTTAAAATATTTGAAAATATAAAACCGTTATTTTTAAATTGTAATAACATTTCATAATATTACTATTTTACTATATTATGATCAAATAAATGCAGCCTTGGTGAACATAAGAGACTTTCAAAGTTTGCTTACGTTAAAAGCAATTCTTATTCAATTTGAAAAATACCTGTTTTCCACTTTCATTTCATGTAGGGTTAATGAAGGTATTTAAAGGGGTCCTATTATGCTCTTTTACGAAGTCTTGAGTTTGTTTTGGGGGTGTACTAGAACAGGCTCTCATACTAGGTTGTTCGAAAAACACATTATTTTTCACATATTTTACGCCTTCTGAAATACGAAATGTGCTGTGATTGGTTAGCTGGGCCAGTGTGTGTTGTGATTGGCAGCACTCGGCGCCTGGTCGGGAAATGTTGTGTCATTCCCCTTACCATAGCAGCCTGCCAGCTTTAGTGTAAATATTGTGTCAAAATCAAATCAATTTGAGCACAATTTAAACCCGGATGATTGTAACCACTCTAAGTTTGTCTGCCTTGGGAAAGCTAGCGTGTCTCCGACATAGTGATAACACTCATTGCCTTCTCTAGTGCAGCTCAACCAGGTCTCGTCCCATTCGTCTATATTTGTGGTATCACAAATCCCGGAAAATATGCGTTGTATTCCAAACGAGTCGTTCGTTGTAGTTTTTGAAAAGTGATTTCTGTTAAATAAAATATCTCCTTTTGAAGTGGACTTTGAGCTTTGTAACTTTGCAGATCTTTTTTTATGCTCAAACAGCAACATTACAGACTAACTAAAGTTGAAAAAG